TTTCTATTGAACATTTCAATAAAATCGGCGAGAAGTAATAGAAAGTTCAATAAAATTGCTCCAAAAGATTTGCCTTCAAATCCAATAGAATTTTCTAACGAATTCGCTAAATTCAAAGTGAAAAAAAATAAGAAAATTTGAGCCGAGAAAATTCTATAGAGAATATCTCAATCAATGGAATAAGTTGTATNAAATAAGCAAAATGACCATTCGGAAGCATATTGCTAATTTATTAGCAAAAGTAACTATACTATGCGCAATACAGGAGCAATTTCCCACTTGATTTAAATAAAATTGCACCATTTATGTAAAATAGCTCAAAATGAATGAATGGCGCAAATTTTTATACTAAACAAATTCGTAATTGTTGATGTTCACATTTGTTCAAAAATTTTGAAAAAAACCACTCCTGTAGCTAAAAAATTGGAGGCCCTGGACTATTTTTAACACTTTAAACGCATACGGGGTAACCGAATAATGAATCATTAATTAATTAATTTTTTTGCACTAATTATTCGGTTTTAGACATATATAAGCGGTCCTCAATGCATGAGAATTTTGACACTGTATCTGGGAATTTCTTAATTGAAGAGATAATTTAATATTCAGTGAATTGTAAAGAATTCACTTATTCTGTGACATTTTGTTACTTCGCTATCTAATCAGTTGCATCTCTTCATGTCTCTGTCCAGAATAATTCCGATCATTAATTTTGATTGCTATCCATACCGTGTTAATAATTGTGGAGTACAAATCATGAATATTACTGTACGCGTTCCTATCCAATGCGTAAAGTCTTGCTTTTTTGTAAACCTCAGCTGACATGAGGCCATCCAGACTCGATGGAACGGTCGCCAATTTTTCCATAAGTTTCCTCTGTAACATGAAATATTCCAAGACCTCTTAGAACACATGACACCGGAAAAACCAGAGATATTGCACCGCAACTGCGATTCATCGTTTCTTGTCACAACAATTTCCTTCCCTGTAGATCACGTATGAAAGACAATTCTTGAATTCCTATTGAACTTTGTATTATTTTTTGGCCAACTCTATTGAAATGAGAATTCAATTTTTTATACAATTTAGTCTATTGAGATATTTTCTACAGAATTTTCTCGGCTCAAATTTTCTAATTTTTTTGTTTGATTTTCTTGATGAAAAGAAAAGCAAAATCGCGTATGAAAAAATTAAATAGAAAACCTAACGAATTCACTTGGAAATTCCATAGGATTTCCATAGGATATCTATTGGAATTGCATTGAAAAATTCTATTTGTTTTTTCGATAAGAAAAAGCCTAGTTCTATTTGAAGTTTTCTCTTGAGATTTTTTCTATAAGAATGCTTGAGCATCAATTTTCTAAGTCTTTTCCACTCGGATCCTGTAATGCAAAACAAAACAAAATCCAGCGGAAAATTTGTGCCCGATAATTCTAATAAAAAAAATCTCAAAAAGTAAAATTCGAACAGAAATTCAAAATATTTTGACTTTTTCCTATTAAATATGCAATAGAATCAGCGCAAAAACAAGTAGAATGTTTCAACAGAATTCCAATAAAAATACTATAAAAACTCCGGAAAATCCTATAGAATTCCAATAGAATTTTCTAACGAATTTGCTAGGTTTGCTATTCAATTTTTTTATACGTGATAGTGTGAAAAAAAATTAGAAAATTTCAGCCAAAGAAATTCTATAGAGAATATCTGAATCGAATAAGTTGTATAAAAAAATTTACTATTTTTATAGAATAGTTTCTATTGAACATTTCAATAAAATCGGCGAGAAGTAATAGAAAGTTCAATAAAATTGCTCCAAAAGATTTGCCTTCAAATCCAATAGAATTTTCTAACGAATTCGCTAGATTTAGAGTGAAAAAAATAAGAAAATTTGAGCCGAGAAAATTCTATAGAGAATATCTCAATCAATGGAATAAGTTGTATAAAAAATTTACTAATTCTATAGAATATTTTCTATTGAACATTTCAATAAAATCGGCGAGAAGTAATAGAAAGTTCAATAAAATTGCTCCAAAAGATTTGCCTTCAAATCCAATAGAATTTTCTAACGAATTCGCTAAATTCAGAGTGAAAAAAAATAAGAAAATTTGAGCCAAGGAAATTCTACAGAGAATATCTCAATCAATGGAATAAGTTGTATAAAGAAATTTACTATTTCTATAGAATATTTTCTATTGAACATTTCAATAAAATCGGCGAAAAGAAAGTTCAATAAAATTGCTCCAAAAGATTTGCCTTCAAATCCAATAGAATTATCTAGCTAATTCGCTAGGTTGACGGGAAGCAGTAATTCCCTTATTAGTGAATCATTCCCGTTTTCAATTTTCCTGACGTGGAAAAACGAAGGTAAAAAAATAAAATGACATTTATGTGACAACATAAAATGGTTGGAAGATAAACATCTCTCTTCCAAGAAATTTCAATGTTTTTATGGAATTTTTTCCACAACTCCTAGTGCATTTTTCTTTATAAATTGCTCTGTTGGGATTATAATTTACGAATGAATAGAACTTTCTGAGGACAATTTAATTTTTTCTAACCTGCCGCAAGCTGAGGTACAGCTCCCAAATGTACAAAATCCATATCACAGTGAGTATCTCAAAACGTATGTGTTCTTCAACAAAATTCATCAAGGTCCCCATAATTAATTAATTTAATATTTGAACACCACTCCGATATTATCATATGGATGTTGAACTTGATTTTACGGTTAATCGTGTACGGCTACGGGTGGAAGCTAGAATCAATCGGCCAAACAATACCGGTACGAATGTAGTCACAAATCGTACTGAGAATGAGCGACTGTGCAGAGGGCAAGAGGGGTCAAGAAACTTTCCTGCTGGATTCCCCGGACTCTCAACCAACCGCGTTCGACGAGGAGAAAATCCAATGGGAACACGATGCCGTATATGTGAGGTGCGGTAATTATTTTTAAAGGATGTTTTGGTGAAGAGTTATTTTTCTTGAATAAAAAAATTAAGGAAATCCAAGCGGGGGAGGTTGGGGTAAAACGGACACTTTTGACTTGTTTTTAAATATTCCTGAGGGGTTGAAATGTTGATAAAATTTAATAATTTTTTTTTCAATACAAGGAACAATTCTTTCCCTCAGTGACAAGCCTAAACTGAGATCAATTGATCAATTTGTTTCTGAGTTATGAATAATTGAAAAAAAGTCTAAAGTGTCCATTTTACCCCACCGGCAACTATCGTTTACAGTTTGGTCTGTACCAATTGCATGAGAGTAATTTGAAAAAAATCGTGAATATTCAGTGCTATTGAAATTACATTTTGCACCGAATCATTATTTTTTTAAACATTCGTTGTTTATAAAGAAATAATTGAAATTGTTTAAACTTCCGGAAATCTTATTCTTTTAGGCGTGAAATCGATTTCTGGGGAAATTCTGAATATAAATAAATGTGTTACGATTGCGAACAAATGATTTTTATGACGGAAAATTGATTGTTTATAAATTATTTATAGAAAATGCTCATAGTTTCCAAAATTGCACTTTTTTAATTATTTCATCAATTTTTCTCCAAAAGTGAACTTTCCAATTTTATTTCAGATTTTTAAAATGTTTTCTAGCGGTTCTATATCAGATTCAAATTTTAAAAAAACTAAAAATTGAAATTTCATTTTTTCGAATTTTTTGAGTATAAAATATGAGTACTAAAATCATCAGCATGGTAGGAACAATCCCCTGCAATTTTCAAATTTCACCGCGGTTGAGGAAAAATCACGCGGAAAATTTTGTTTTTGACATTTTTTCTCGAAAAACAAAATTTTTCTTTCCCGAGGTAAACCTGCCCTTAATAGTATTATAGCGCTTTTCTTAAACTGTTTTTTTTCAAACTTATCTGAATGTGTTTCTTCAAAACTACTTTTTTTGTTTATAATTTTTACATGTTTCTTGAAACCTGGATTGACCTCTAAAACAATTGAACCCTAACAGGCAAGGGGGGGTGAGGGGTTAGAGGTTAATCCTGGTTTCAAGAAACATGTAAAAATCTAAAACAAAAAAAATAGTTTTGAAGAAACATACTCAAATAAGTTTGAGAAAAAGCGGTTCAAGAAAAGCGCTATTAGTAATCTATTGTTCCTAGTCTATAAATTTGGAGAAAATACATACCTTCTTGTTTAGTTTTTCTGCTTCTTTTCCAATGAAAATGTTCAATGAAAAATATTTTATAGAAATAAAAAATCAATAAAATTTGATTTTTCGATACCACTTACTCGATTCAGATATATTCAATAGATGTTTATTTTTCTTTTTTCTACTGTCTAATTTCCGTGACTCATTTCACTACTAAATCCACTTAAAATGAAACAGAAATAAAGATCGAAAAGTGTTTGTCTACCATTTCAAAGCAAAATGTATTTTATTTTCACAAAACTTCAGAAAATTTTTTCAAATTACGACATTTATATAAAAAATTATGCCAATAGCTTAGGTATGAAAATACTTCTGAAGAAGTTCTTCGTAGATGTCTTTGTCTGTCTGCAGGAACAGGCAAAATATCACACGATCGATCTAGAAAAGAAATTCATACAAATGTTGTATTGATTACAATGAACAATTACATTGACTTTTACGATTGGTTATAGAAATAAAAATGTTATATTACCTCATCTGGATTTTCCTGGAGAAAAGTTTTGACAGTGTTTATGGCAACTTCAGCCGCAGGTCTCTGAGGATATCCATAAACTCCAGTTGATATGCAAGGGAAAGCAATAGTCTTCACGCCATTGTCTTTAGCCACTTGGAAGCAATTGCGATAACAGTCTGTCAGTTTCTCTGGCTTTTCTCCTCGAGGTCCAACCGTATGAATGACATCTGCATGATGAAATGAAAATAATTTACGAGATAAATTAAAATAAGACAGATGAATCATTGAATGGTTGTCGCGGCATACATTTAGCTGGCAATTTATATCCGCCAGTAATTTTGGCTTCTCCAACGGAACATCCGTTCAAGGTGGCGCATTCTTTCTTCAGGGTCGGACCAGCCGCTCTGTGAATTGCTCCATCAACTGAAGAAACATTTTTTTTTAGAATTTGTTGTATTTTGTCGCGCTTTGTTTAGATATTTTGTCCTACGAACTGCAGTCGATAGAATGTTCATCAGAAACAATTTTATGGAAAAAATCAACAGAATTTGAATTTTCTACACAACTTAGTCTATTGAGATATTTTCTTGCAGTTTTTTAGTGGATTTTTTCATGAGGAGGGACTAAAAAGGAAATGAAAAATAAATCTAGTAAATTGATCAAATAGTTCTATTGAATTTTTATTGAATTTGGTATTAGTTTTCGATTGATTCTGTTGAAATGCTCCATAGAAAATATTCTATAGAATAAGTCAATTGAATTCGATTTTTCTATGCAACTTATTTCATTGAGATATTTTTTATAGAATTTCCTCGGCTCAAATTTTCCAAGTTTTTTCATTAGATTTTTTCTTTATCAAGAAAATTGAACGAAAAATTTGGAAAATTAGATATTTTGAGGTGAGAAATATTACCTCCTCCACCTCCCATCAAGCTTGAATTAGCAGCGTTGACAATTGCGTCGATTTCAAGGGATGTTATGTCACCTTGCCACATTGACACTTTCTTCGCTAAATCAGACGTAATTTCACCACCCCCTTTATTTTTCTTGATATATTCAGGCAGGGTCATGATTTGCTCTAAAGTGGTTATCTCAGATTTGTAATGTTGTCTCTTCTCGTCTCTGGACATCTTCAAAAACTTCTCTGGAATAATGTTTTGTTTCAATATTCCGCAGTAAAGCTGCTTAGATAGTCTAGTAATGAAGTTACCTGAATTTCATTAAAAAACCTAGCGAATTCACAAAACAATTCTATTAGAATTCTATTGAACTCTATTAGTTTTTGCCCGATTTCATTGCCTAGCGAATTTGCCAGGTTTTTCTACTAATTTTTTTCGTGTGACTTTACTTAAGGATGTCCAAGTACTTTCGCTATTTTTCTCCAGTGAAATGTTTTTCTATTTTTGTAGTAGATCATCAGAGCTTTCATTTAAGCTCCATTAAACCCTGAGTTTCCAGACATTTCACAATGACTTTATTATTTAAACTTTGCAGGTCTGAATCCGAATATGATATTAAACGGTTAGAAAACGTTTTCAAAATGAGAAAAAAATTAGAAAGTTTACTTTTGCCGGAAAATTGATGAAATAATTTAAAAATTGAAATTTTTGAAAATTATAAACGTTTTCTGCAAATAATTTATAAATAATCAATTTTCCACCATCAAAGTCATGTGTTCGCAATCGTAACAAATTTATGCATATTCAGAATTTCACCAGAAATCGATTTCATATGCCTAAGAAATAAGCACTCTGGAAGTTTAAATAATTTTAATTATTTATTTACTAGCGAACGGGCGCTTCGCATCCGTCACCAGATTACTTTATACTATTTTATTTTATTTCATTCTCTTCCCCTTTCCATCTTCAAAATGAAATTAATTTAATTTTATCCACTCGTATTCTTATTACATATATATTTGTTTCCGTAATTTACAAGTTACACTATTGAATGAAGATGAATTATGTTAAAGATCAATAAAGTATTTTTTTTATCAAAACAAACACAAAACGAAAATCATTCGAAATCTAAAAAATAGAGAAAATTGGCTTTTATTCGTTTCTGTCAGTGGAAACATGGAATCACTGTTTTTTCTTTCAATGTGGTCGGGATATGAATATTTTGCCATTTTATTATCCAAGTTTAACGAGAAGAAATGAAAAAATGTACACGTAGACGGGAAGAAATAAAAAATTAATGTTTAATGTTTCCGGAAAGTTTTAAAATCGATATATATTTTCGAATAACGGAACAATACCCATAAAATTGTGCAAATTACAAGCATTTTCTAGAAATAATCCATAAACAGTCAATTTTCCACTATAAAAAATACGGATTCCGGAAGTTTAAACTATTTCAATTATTTATTTATAAACAACGAAGGCTAGAAAAAATAATTCTGTGCAAAATGTATATTTGAATGACGCTGAATATTCATGATTGTTTTCAAATTTATCTCACGCAATTTAATTCACAAATTTGATGATTGAAAATGGTTGAATCTATATAGTGTGGTTTATACTAAACTGTAAAAGATACTTTGGCTATTTTTACTGTAGTGAAATGCTTTTCTACTTTTGTAGTAGTACATCAGAACTTTCATTTAAGCTCCCTTTAACCCTAAGTTTGCGGACATTTTACAATGATTCTATTATTTCAACTTTACAAGTCAAAATTTGAATCTCGATATTGAACCGTTACAAAACATTTTAAAAATCTGAAAGTTTAGTTTTGCAAGAAAATTGATGAAATAATTAAAAAATTGCAACTTGTAAAAATTACAAGCATGTTCTAAAAATAATCCATATAAACAATCAATTTTCCACCATAAAAAATGCGGATTCCGGAAGTTTAATCAATTTCAATTATTTATTTATAAACAACGAATGTTAAAAAAAATAATTCTCTACAAAATGTAATTTTTGAATGAGGCTGAATAGTCATGATTTTTTTTTCAAATTTATCTAACGCAATTTAATTCACAAATTTGATGATTGAAAATGGTTGAATGTAGATTCAACCATTTTCAATCATCAAATAGTGTGAAACTACACACTTACTATAGTGTGGTCTATACCAAACTGTAAAAGGTATTTGGATATCCTTAAATCCATCACAGAATCGCATTCCAGACGCGCCGTTGCATTCATCTATATGAATAAATAATCCATCATATTTACCCTTCTCCTCCGTGAACGACATTGTAGACAAATCCTTAAACACTGTATTCAATGCCACACCAAAGCCTCCCCACAATTTTTTCGAAAGAATAGATCTGTCAACTCCCGTGACCACCTGCAATTTTCAAACAGTTCAATATCAGTAGTTTTTGCGCATTGCTCCAAAACGCTTACTCTGAGTATTTTCATGATGAACTACTCCAAAATGAAAGGTGTTTCAACTTACTAATGATTGGAAACGAATTTTGGTCAGAGTTAATTAATCTTTCCGAATTATTTCGATCGATAAAAGTCAAAATTTATTGCTTTCGGGTGAATAACTGTAACCGGCGTATTTCACCGTTCCAGATCAGCTGGAATCTTGCATGTGTGTTGGGATCGATTCACCAGTGCAACTGCGTGCAAATATATACGTATTCTTGCCACCTGTCGGTAAGTCGAGCATTTAAAATTAATTCGAATATCAAGATCCGCAAGTACGAAAATAGTATATTTCGTACCGAGTGCAAAAAACATTTTTTCACGAGTTACGAACAATATTTTTCATCACAATGTGGCGGAAATTGGACTTTTAGACACGCGGAGCGTGAATTTTCTAGAAAATTTGCTAATTTTTCTATTGAATTGATTCATACGTGGAATGTAGTAGCAGTGCCGAAAAGTCATTTGTTTATGATTTTTTATTGATGAAATTGTTGCAAATACGGAAAAATGACGACTCACCCTCCTAAAATCCCGCGTTTTTATAGAAAAAAAATTCTGGCCGTTAAGGCCAGCGTTCAATTATTCATTAATAATTTGTTAATAAAAAAATTCACTGGAATTCAACCTGGGGACCTAAAGGAGAAAAAAATTCGCACAAATATAATTAATAATTCATTTTGTCATATGTAATAGATTCTTCTGTAGATTTTATTGATACATAAGAAAGAATTGTAAGATTGAACCTTATGACAAGGCATTAGCATAACATCAGTGGTATACAAGATGGGTTAATCCGTTGTTTTTTTTTTTAAATCAAAAATAAATGGAATTACAAAATTATTCTTCAGGTTCGTTTGCCCAGGGCTTTTTGCGTCGCTTCCGTCTTCTTCTGGGCAGCCTGTTCCTTCTGCTTCTTCTCGTCCTCCCTTCGTTTAGCAGCTTCTTCTCTCTGTTGCTTAATTATGGCTAATCGTGCTAGGTCTGCACGTGCCTCATCGGTCTTACCAGCGGCATGGAGCTTCTGATAATTCGCGTAGGCACGCTGTTTTTCTAATTGTTCTCTGGAAAGGGGGGAAATTTTCGTTATTGAAGATCAAATTTATTAGATGGACTTTAAAGGGAGAATGAATGAACGATGAAAATCTTGTTTCATCAAAACAATTAGAATTTTAACGAGAATTCCCTAGAATTTCAATAGAATTTTCTATCGAATTCGCTAAGGTTTTCTGTTCAATTTCTTCATAGGTGAATTCTCCCAAAAAAATTCAACATTCAATTCAATAAAATAGTATAAAACGACAAATGATATAGGATAGAAGAAAAGATGAGCAAAATGACCATTCGACAGTATTTTTCCCACTTGTTCATCTCTAAAAGCTTTGATAATAGTATTATAGTTAAGGAGATGTGAAAAATTCTACTTGCTATGTCTCGTTTCATCTCTCCATTGTCCGATCACAAAAGTTTTCAATTCATATCATCTCAGGAATTCGATTTAAATTCGTTATTTACCTTTCTCGTCGAGATAACTCAGGCTTCGACGATTGTTGCGCTAAATCATTATTCAACGTTGAAAGTTTCTTTGCTTTTTTCTGGACTCTGTTGGGATTCTCCACCTCAATTAAAGCTTCAACTCCCTTCGCCTTTCCCTGGATTCATAAATAAAAAACTAGCTCTATTTTTCAGTGTTACCTTTCATAGGATAAACAGTTATGACGTTTTGCGAATGAATACTGAGAGCTCAAATTGGATCATGTTTTCTCAGAGTAATAACATCCAGTATTGAAATGATTTTGAAATCAATTTTTGTAGAATATGTATTTTGAAATCCAAGGGAGATGACAGAAATTTTATGAATGTTTCTGTCAGAAACGAATTTCTGAAAGAGAATTATGAAATATTGCGCTACAATTTTCAACGTAAAAGTGCTGAAGTAGAACTCAGAATTGGTCAAATTGTCTATATTGTCCTTGATTTGAACCCTCGAAAGAGTCTAAGGTAACTCTATCTAACGTAAAGATTAGTTTTTAGAAACTCAATTCAATTGAAAGTCAAAAATTCGAAAATTCATCAATTGTTCAAAATTTTGGCCTTTCCACTGATTTTGATCCCAAAAGCTCTTTGCAAAATTTTCTAAATTCTCCACCCCCCGAGAAATGACGAAATATTCGACGATAATTTCAAAGCCTGAAAACTAAGAATTTCGAAATCCTCACCTCATTCTGTCTACCATTAATCGATTCAAATATAAAAAAGACCCACATTATATAGACAATTCTTTCAAAACATAATATAATGCAGACAATTCTTTCTAGTCAGCGTTAAAATAAAAAACTACAATACTACTGCTTCAATTTTTAAGGTGAAGAATTAAAAAATTCAACTAAAAATTCATCGCTCCCCTCAAAATCGAGATCTTGAGGTCTTCTCGCTGATTTTGGTCTCAAAAGCTCTCTCCACAATTTTCCAAATTTCCCAGCCCCAAAGAAATGACGAAATATTTCATAATAATGTCAACATCCTCACCTCATTCTATCCACCATTAACATTAAATGTCAAAAAAATATTCTTCATTCATTATCCTCTACCATTCCACTACGAAACCGATTCAAACATAAAAACAACAATAAAACTCCAGTCAACATCATAAAATAAAAACCTCCAATATTGTCACTCCAATCGTCAAGGTCAAGAGTTCGAAAATTCAGTTAAAAATCCATCTCTCCCCTCAAAATCTCGGTCTTCCCACTGATTTTGGTCCCAGAACTTCTCTCCAAAATCTCCCAGACTCCCCAGCCGACAATAAATACCAAATAATACTCAAATAATACTTGAAAAATCCTCACCTCATTCTCAGACTCTGAAGACTCCGACTCGCTCTCACTCTCAGATTCCGACGCCTGTTTCGCCTTGCCGGCCTTCTTCGGCTGTTCCTCTTCCTCACTGGAGGAGTCGCCGCCCTTTTGTTGCTGCAAGCCCAAAAGAAATAATGAAAAACCCTCGACAACACTCGCCCACGTCAATCAACTTAACCTCTGAAAGACTCACCCTCCACCTTCTCTTCTCCTCGTCCGCTCTCCTCTGTTCCTCGAGCTCCTCAGGGTTCGTAAAATGACGATTACGTCCCTTGTGATTGACAAATTTACCTGCACGAAAAATCAAAAGCCCCCAGGAGACCATTAAAAAATAATAAAAATGTGTTCAGGGTCAGCCCGACATTGAAGACTGAAAACCCACGTCTTCAGGACTACAAAAAACGTGGGCTTGGTTGAACATCATTCAATAAAAATCACCGTAAAAACATTATAATATTGTGTCTCAACTCACCACGTGGCATTTTTATTCAACTAAATTTACTTAGCAAAAATTTTGTGAACACAACCTTTTTGGTTGGGGCAAGGTTTTTGTTTGTAAATTTTAATTTACGGGAATTATCTTGACGTGAGACGGCTGTCCCCCGCGGTGTCAAGCGGATCAACAGGGAATCGTTCCCTTGGATTCTTGGATTTCACGGAAATGAAATTGTTCGGTTGGTGAAACTGTCGCAATCGAATAATCAAAGTCGAATTGTTCGCTTTATTTCAAGAGAAACGAGGAGAGTATTTCCTTTCTAATATTTCGGGAATAAATTGGGATTTTTTCAAGGGGAATTGTTCCCTCATTTTTAATGATCTAATTGGTATAATTATTTATTCAAAACTCGGTAAAATTATGGTGTAGTGCCCAGACTGTAAATTAGTGTCTTGATTTGTCGGGAGGGGGCGCAAGTCTCTGAGTGTTTGACGCATAACCTCTAATTTATTTGGAGCTAGCTGTTTTCAGTTGCTTACGTGTGTTTTGGGTGATCATTAAATACTGATAATTGGTGCTAAAATAGTATTTGAGGATGCCGAAAGTGAGGAGGAGTAAGAAGTCACCTCCAGACGGTTGGGAACTGATCGAACCGACTCTCGAGGAGTTGGAGCAGAAGATGAGAGAAGGTATGTTTGGGTTCACGCAGGAGAAAATCTTCTGTAGATAGATTTAGCGAATTTAGTAGAAATTTCTGATGGATTTCTGCTGAAATCTTCGAGGGTAAACGAATTCTATCGTTTTTTTTCGGAATTTTTCAATAGGATCGGCCAAAAACAGAAAAGTTCAGTAGAAATCCGATAGAATTTTCTACCAAATTCCTTGGGTTTTACTCGAAAATTCCCATGTAGTGGCGTTACGTTGAAGTTGATTTGTGAGATTATTGTGGATTAATAACTGCAATTTTGATTACAGCTGAAACCGAGCCACACGAAGGCAAACGAAAGCAAGAATCTCTGTGGCCGATATTCAAAATTCATCATCAGAAATCGAGATATATCTATGATCTGTTCTACAGACGAAAGGCTATTAGCAGAGGTGAGAAGAGATATTTTTCATGAATCGAGGTTACTGGCTCCCGGATGTTTTTCCCCCCGAAAAAATTGCGCGGACAAAATTCCCGGAATTATTTTCCCGTACGAATGTTACAAACAATTACACAAACACATTATCAACGTTAATTTGATTTATTACATCCTTCAATCGTCGAAGACACGCCAGATGAGAATTCAGCTTTTTCAGTAGATCAATAATAAATAAATTACGTTACTGCAATAACTTAATTGTCAACACTTTCGAACGAATTCCCCCAAATAGTTCAAACAAATCTCTTGCCCCACTAATCAATGAATCTTCATTAACAAGCATTCTCGTCCTACAAAGTCGCAGATTCATTAAAAAAAACATTGAGAACATTCAACAAAACATCATCTTACACTACTAAAATAATCTATTTCAAAACGAACATATTTCCAAACAACCAATCATGAATGAATAAATTACATTTCCGAAAAATGAACAGTCAACGTATTCAAAAAAATTTCCCTACATACTTTCCAACATTAATAATAAAGTTAGAAATTATAATATGTTTATTTTTCATTTTTGCCGGTGATTTTTTTCTTTTCGGTGATTTTCAGGGGAAAATAATTCCGGGGGAATATTTAGACGAGGGATTTTTTTCCACGAGGAAATTTTTCCGGGGGGAAAAATCCGGTCACCGAGGTTACTTGTATTACAAATTTTTGGCCCAAATTATCGGGACACTTTTTGGGAATAATCGGATGTATGGTCGAGTTGGTAAGGTCCGCCTACACCCTAAATGCTTCAGAGGAGTTCCCAGCTGACGTAGCCATTGGCAGAGAACGATGTGGTGATGTCAACCCACATTATTCTATTCCTGATCAATCGAATTTAACAGACTTAAGAATTTTTGACTGAAATTTTAGGATACACTTTTTGGTCAAATTTTTATGAAGTTTATGGACATTTCCCCTGAAATTTGATGAATTTCGTCATTGAAAATTTCCAGCTAAACGAAAAAATCAATAGAAACTATAAATTTCAATTCAATTATTTCCTGGAAATTAATGAAAATTGCGAAAATTAAGAGAGATACGTATTAAAAAATTCATCGGAAAACCTTAGTGAATTCGTTAGAAAATTCCATTAAAATTCTGTAAAAATTCTATGGGGATTTTATTAAAATTCTTGAGATTATCCCCTGGGATGATTCTAACTTAATTATTCATAATTTCAATTGTAGAATTATATGACTACTGCCTGAATGAGAAAATCGCAGACAAGAATCTCATTGCAAAATGGAAGAAAGTGGGATACGAGAACTTGTGCTGCCTCCGTTGTATTCAGACTCGAGATACAAACTTTGGGACTAATTGTATATGTCGCGTGCCGAAGGGCAAACTAGAAGAAGGGAGGATCGTTGAATGCATCCACTGTGGATGCCGAGGATGTTCTGGTTAATTTTACGAAATTTAAAGTTATCTTAAGACTTGAGACTTATCAATTGTTTCTAAATCAATTAATCTTGTAAATAATAAGAAATTCATGAATAAATTACACGTTTTAATATCAACACGAACTATTTTTCAGTAAATCAAAGATATTGTTCCTGTCTCTATTTATTCTGTCTTTATTCTTCTTTTCAGAATGACAAATGCAATTCACTCTTGAAAAATTATTGAATAATAAAAGAATTACAAGTGAAAAATTAATTCAGTTCATAAAAAAATGGATTTACCCATTTTGTTTCACTACTTCGTCACTGCTATTGTTCTTCAAAAATATTAAAAATATATTTCCTCACAAAATCATTCAAGCTCTCATCAACAACTGATTTATTAACATACATATAAAAATTTATTTAACCATTGAATTCAATTTTTTCGATTGAAGTCCTAAGTCTTCAACGTTCCGATAATGAGTGACTCTCAATTGTTTTTGAATTAACACAAATTACGTTTTTTAGTAAATCAAAGACATTTTTTCTGTCTGTATTTATCACATTTCTTCCTTTCAAAATGACAAATGGAATTCAGTCTTGAAGAATTATTGAATAATAAAAGAATTACAAATGAAAAATTAATTCAGTTCATAAAAAAATGGATTTGCCCATTTTGTTTCACCACTTCGTCACTGCTATTGTTCTTCAAAAATATGAAAAATATATTTCCTCACAAAATCATTCAAGTTCTCATCAACGACTGATTTATTAACATACATATAAAAATTTATTTAACCATTGAATTCAATTTTTTCGATTGAAGTCCTAAGTCCTCAACGTTCCGATAATGAGTGACTTGGGACTTCTCAATTGTTTTTGAATTAACACAAACTACATTTTTTAGTTTTTCTGTCTGTATTTATGACATTCCTTCCTTTCAAAATGACAAATGGAATTCAGTCTTGAAGAATTATTGAATAATAAAAGAATTACAAATGAAAAATTAATTCAGTTCATAAAAAAATGGATTTGCCCATTTTGTTTCACCACTTCGTCACTGCTATTGTTCTTCAAAAATATGAAAAATATATTTCCTCATGAAATCATTCAAGTTCTCATCAACGACTGATTTATTAACATACATATAAAAATATATTTAACCATTGAATTCAGTTTTTTCGATTGAAGTCCTAAGTCCTCAACGTTCCGATAATGAGTGACTTGGGACTTCTCAATTGTTTTTGGATTAACACAAACTACATTTTTTAGTTTTTCTGTCTGTATTTATGACATTTCTTCCTTTCAAAATGACAAATGGATTTCAGTCTTGAAGAATTATTGAATAATAAAAGAATTACAAATGAAAAATTAATTCAGTTCATAAAAAAATGGATTTGCCCATTTTGTTTCACCACTTCGTCACTGCTGTTGTTCTTCAAAAATATGAAAAATATTTCTTCACAAAATCATTCACGTTCTCAACAACTGATTTATTAACATACATATAAAAATTTATTTAACCATTAAATTCCATTTTTTCGACTGTAAAAATCTGGCGCTGAAATAAAGTGGAGTCTCAACGTTCCAATAATAAGTGACCGCCTTATCCGAGCATTCGATATTAACTCGTAAAGTCTCTTCATCCCTTCTCGCAATAGTGAATATGATTCTCGTACCAGAGTGGACTGAGGGGAGTTGCATGAGTTTCTCCTCTCCATCCATGAAAATTTTACCCCGCGCAGTGATCATCAGTGATCCCCTTCGCCTCAAAGAGTCATTTTTTCCTCCAGGCTCTGATAATAAGGCGATTCCTTCGTCGCTCATGACTTGAGCTGGAACTTCTAAAAACTAATGACGAAGGGATTATTCGAATGTTCTGAAATCTGATCATCCTGTTCTTCTCTTCTAATCTCATTACCTTGAACTCAATTATTTGATTGGCGTCTATGAGGGCTTCACGGGAAAATACCGCACTGACGTGATCGTTAATTTTCGCTGCGACTGTTCCATTATTCGTGATCATATAATCTTCATTATTGAGGGACCAACCTGCAGGGAGGAATCTTATTATGGGAAATGCACTCGAATGATTGAATTACAGGTGATTGTATTCATCAAATCCAGGGTTTAATGAATGAATGAAAGATTTTCATTGAAGAGAAACTATTATTCCTAGTGGATTAAGAATATCCAAGTTTTTTTTACAGTTTGGTACAAACCTCACTGTTCAATCATTTTTAATCATCAAATTTGTTGATTAATTTGTCTTAGAAAAATTTGAAAGAAATCACGAATATTCAGCGTCATTCAAATTAAATTTTGCGCCGATTTTTTTTTAAACATTCGTTGTTTATAAATAAATAATTTAAATTGTTTAAACTATCGGAAACCTTTTTTTTAAAGCATGAAGTTGATGTCTGATAAAATTATGAATATAAATAAATTTGTTATGATTCCACACAAATAATTTTTTTAGTGGAAACTTAATTGTCTATAAATTATATACGGAAAATGTTCGGAATTTTAAAAAATTGCTATTTTTTAATTATTTCATGGATCTTCCTCTATAAGTAAACTTTCAAATATTTTTTCAGATTTTTAAAATGTTTTCGGGCGGTTCAATATCGTGATTCAAATTCAGACCTGTAAAGTTTACATAATAAAATCATTCAAAGCAAAATGTAGACTTATTTTATAGATAATTTTTTCAGCTGTAGTAAATATTTCAAGTAATATTCCCAGAGAAATGGTTTATTTGAATTGAATAAACTTCATTCGAATTACATAATTCTTAATTTGGTTTCAATGAAGGATTCATTTAGAACATTTGAATTATTTATTCCCCACAATTGAAAACCACGTATATCATCAACGATAATTGCACGTTATTTTTTTTCATTCTATTTTTCGTTCCTTTTCCTCAAGAAAATCAACAAGAAAAATTTAGAAAATTTGAACCGAAGAAATTCCATAGAAAATATCTCAATAGAATAAGTTATATAGAAAAATCGAATTTTATTGACTTTTTCTGCAAAATATTTTCTATTGAACATTTCAATAGGATCGATTAAAAACTAATAAAAAGTTGAACAGACATTCAATACAATTGACTAACGAATTCCCTAGGTTTTTCTATTATTAAATTTTTTCGTAGGTAACTTCATTAATATTCACCAAGAATATTTTTCAAACGAATAGAAAAAAATCAAATGCTATTTTATTTCATTCAAATGTGTCATTACTCTGGGGTAAGAGTATAGAGTATAGAGACTTACCATAATTTGGCACTGATGTCTTGGTAATTCTCATTGAGCTCCACGCAGACTCCAGCGATTGAATCCCAACTCTGAGAGTAATTGGACGATTAATTTCGACATTTTTAACGAAGCAAGACTCCTCACTCCCCTCGTAGATTGTCGTAAACTCGTTGGAGGTGGGATCGAGGACCTCTCCAAGTGCCCTTTGGAGAACGTAAATGTGATCCTCAAAAGCATATTCAGGATCTGCGATGCCCCACTTGACGAATACCGACCCCGGTTTTTCTTCTATATCCGTTATCTGAACTGGACCCAGTCGTAAGATCGTTCCCATGTTGTAGACTCTGTTGAGGAGTTCATTGACTTGTGCTCTTGATGGCGACTTGAAGTTTAGGTAAGGGAGTTCGTCCAAGAAAGGCACTGCTGGTATTCTGTGATAAATGTGATGCTCTTATTAATCATACAATTATTAGTGATTGATTGATTCTACGAGGAAAAAAGCATTTCTTTACGGCTAGCTAGCTAGAAATTTTCGTATAAAATCACTCATTATATGGAGATAATTCGGGAGTGAAGATGTGAGAGAACGATTCATTCTATTTTGTTCAACAACTGGAATTTTTATAAAAGAAAAATACTTTTTAAATTTTTATAGAATTATAGAATTTTTAATGTAAAAATGATGATGATTGTACATTCAATTATGAATTAATGATTGATGGAAAGAAAGAAATTTTGTAAAATTCAATGGATTATTGAAATTTGAAGAAATAATCATTATTTTCACGGAATTCCATCATAAAGTGAATTGAAATTGAAGTGTTAATTGGACTTTACTAAAATTGACAGATTTTTCGATAATCGAAGTTATTAAAATTCCACTTCAATCGATTATTAAGCAATAGTTTAAGAATTTTATAAATAAATGAAAATGAAGTACAGCTGAAAAAATCATCGGCTAAAAATATATCTCGTTTTGAATTTTTTTTCGAATCTTTAATATTAAAACAATTATAATTGGACATTCAATTATGAATGGGTGATTGAATTCTTCATTTTTGTATTTGAATTTCTTCATTCTTCATGGAATGAAAATTTTTTATAAAATTGAATGGATTATGGAAATTTGAGGCAATAATCATTATTTTCAATAAGTTTCTTCATAATATCAAATTAAAATAGAAAATTTAGGATAGCCAAGTACTTTGGCTATTTTTTCTTCAGTGAAATGCTTTTCTATTTTTGTAATCCAAAATTAGAGCTTTCATTTGAGCCCCATTTGACCCTAAATTGTCGGACATATTACAATGATTTTATTATTTAAATTTTGCAGGTCTGAATTTAAATTTCGATATTGAACCGTTAGAAAATTATTTTAAAATTTCAATAAAAAATTAGAAAGTTTATTTTTAGAGGCAGATTAATAAAACAGTTAAAAAATGGCACTTTTTGAAAATTACGAGCAATTTCTATAAATAATTTAATTGGAATTTAATTCGTAATCGTAACAAATTTATTCATGTTCAGAATTTTTCAGATTTTTCGCACGCAATTTAATTGACAAATTTGATGATTGAAAATGATTGAATCTATAGTGTGGTCTGTACCGAACTTTGAAAGATACTTGAATATTCTAAATATAATGGACTGATTTTTGATGAATGATGCACGATGCAAAAATAACGTTAATTGAACAGACAATGATGAACAAATGATTAAATTCTCCATTTAAATGCGGCAGCGAGATATAAAATTAACAAAATGAGTAATTAACCTCATTAAATCCCAGAATATAACAGCGGTATAGAAGATTGACTGAACAATACTTCAAATTAAAGTTCAAATATAAATGGAGGATACTTTTGAATTTGGCTCGAATTACCTTACAAATTTAATCCTAAGTAAATTATTGATATTCCATTTCAATAGAATTGCTCCTGTCGAGCGTTGAAAGAGAAGAACGACGAAGGAACTCTGTAATTAACTTTCATCATTAAATAAGCATGAGGTGAAATGTTTCATCATCAATGTTGAATTCCTTCAACTCCACTCCATTTACCTCAATTTAACTGAAATCCCGAAAAAATATGGCTCACATACCCTCCAATTTGTCTGTCTGCACTCAATAATTCATGGCGCTCCACATGGCTCATAGAGTGGTATTCATTCTTCATGCTTTCGATTGTGGAAATGGACTTTTTAGTCTTCAATATTTGCCTGTGGATTTCTTCTCGACAGGCTTTCAACGGGACTAGGCTTTCATTCTTGAATACTTTGGCTTCCAACTTCATCAATTCTCGCTTTTTGTTTATCTCCTTCGCTATATTCGAGATCAAGTGGTCGTACGAATCATCGATTTCTTGTAATACTCGGTCTGTGGTTTTGATAACCTGAAAACACATTCGAAAGTGAGTTGAGATATTTTGTTAAGACATTTTGACGACAAGTTGGAAGTGAAAATTTTCAATGTTTTTGCTAGTCTTTAAAGTGTTAAAATTTGTTGGCTGAAATTTTTGGTGTACTTCTTGGGAATTTCTATTAAATTAGAGTGGGAGTTCCTCTGAAATTAGAAGGAATTTCATCAGTGAAAAATGAAAATTTTATGGAACAATAAAAGGAAATTTTAAATTTCAGTTGGAGTATTCTATGAAAATTAATTGAAAATTCAGCTTAATTTCGTAAAGAAAATTGATGGTTTTATAAAAAATTAAAAAAATCAAAATTGACTTATCTCCTTTTTACTACTTCGCTACTGAAATTGAGAGTTCTATGAAAAAACATCGCAGAAAATTCTTCAATTTTTTAGACTAATGGACAGGCAAGTGAACCCAACATTTCAGCTGCAGTAGCTATCATAACATAAAATAAACAAAGTTCGTCTTATGCACACCCTCTTCCAGGATTTGTTTTCCAAATTAATAATTCACCTACTGGAAGACTCAATCAGAAAGAGAATAATACCTTCTAATCAAACATTCGTGTTTCCCATCAGGAATCGTAAACTGAGAGAATATCAGCAGAGTTCTCAAACCAGTCTTACTTGTGCCAAAAAAAAAGTTTTTGAAAAATGATCAAAGAAAGTTTTTTTGTAGCAAATATGCGAAGCAAGCGTCGAGATTGAAAATTTTTATTGTAAAAATAGATTGAGTCTTTCCAAAAAAAAATTATTCTCTGTGCAAGCAAGAAATGTAATTTTTATCACTACGTCTTCGTTATTCGGTGCTCCCATACGTATTGAAGAAATGAAATATAATGAAAAACGTTTTTCATTATCAAAGAAGGATTTTTTGTGGCAAATGTGCGAAGCATGCGTCGAGATTGAAAATTTTTATTGTAAAAATAAATTGAGTCTTTCCAAAAAAAAATTATTCTCTGTGCAAGCAAGAAATGTAATTTTTAGCACGTCTTCGTTATTCGGTGCTCCCATACGTATTCAAAAAATTAAAAATAATGAAAAAATGTTTTTCAAGTGCTTGCAATTCTAGAGGAACAAATTCTCGTAAATCTCTTCTTTATCGAAGTCTTTGGAAAATGCTCTGAACTCAATGAGTCTCACCTGAGCGTCAGCTTTATCCAACTCCTTGAACTGCTCCTCCAGTTTCCTAATATACTCCTGAATATTCGATATGGTCTTCTGAGAATAATCATTTCTTTTTGATCCCTCATTCACAGACCCGAAAATCACCTCCGAAGACGTTTTCGATATGTTTGAGATACTCTCCTCATACTTATAAATTTTTTCTTCAGTGGATTCCAACTTTTTCTTCAATTCTCGATAACGCAATTTTTGCTCTGCCCCTTCGGACGGTGCTTCGGATTTCTCCGAAGTGGTTTCTAATAGCTGAGAGTCTTCGGTCAGGGTGGAGTTCAAGTCGTCGAGACTATCGTCCTCTTTGATGTCCATTGTTAATGTTTAATTACAATTTTTCATTTTTTGAGATTCTGGAAAGGGAATCAAGGGAGTGAATGCTTCGGTATGTACCATGAACCCCCAATGCAAAAATATATAAAAAAAATATATAATATAGGCCAATTTAATATGTTCTTCGAATATATGTATAAGATTTATATAAAATATATAATTTTCCGAATATATATTTTCTCGTGTGGGAAGTGATGAGCGATAGTTGTTATTTTTGGGAATAAGCAGAGAAAAGCCTTATCAAACAAAAGTTTTCATTGAGACATGAATTTACGCATTTCCAGCTGAAATATTGTTGAAATGAATAGAAAAAGAAAAATCTAAAATAAAGAATTTCATTTCGTTGAAAATTTTGATTTCTGTGGATTTCTGTTGAAATTCTATTGAAAATTCTATCAACTTTTTGCATTAATTTTTTTGTACGTGAATTAAGAACTAGCAACAACGTTGATTAAATTGTTGAAAGAAGCGACGTTTCGCAAAATATTTTAGCTTTCTCATGCTCTTGACGTAATCAATGTCTAGTTCTGTTATTATTACCAAATAAATAATCAAATCATTATGCTTGCTCATGTTTAAAAGAGTTAATATTTGTTTGCGTATTGCACGTATGGAAATTTTAATAGAAGACCTTAGCGAATTCGCTAGAAAATTCTATTGAAATTCTGTAGAAATTCTATGGGGATTCTATTAAAATTCTATTTGTTTTTTGCGCAGATTCTATTAGATATTTGATAGGAAAGAGGGAATAGATTTTGATTTTTCTGTTTGAATATTTCTCTTGAGATTTTTTCTATTAAAATTATTGGCCACGGATTTTCTAAGTTTTTTCCGCTCTATTTTGTTTTGTTTTGCATTACAGGATCCGAGGGAAAAAACTTGAAAATTTATGTCCAAATATTCTTATAGAAAAAATTCCAAGAAAATATTCATATAGAAAAATTGAAATCTATTGACTTCTTCCTGTCAAATCTCATAGAATCTGACAGAATCAGCTTAAAAAAATAGAATTTTAACAATAATTCTTTAGAATTTTAATAGAATCCCAATAGAACTTCTGAAGAATTCCAACAGAATTTTCTAGCGAATTCGTCAAGTTTTTCTACTGAATTTTTTCATACGTGTGGAGGGATTTGTATTAATTTTTTTCGTGCGTGTATTTATCGATATTAAAGAATTATTCTCCATCCAGTCTTCAAAATATGAAAAAAACCATAACTTCCTCAATAAAACCCGAAAAAGCCTCAAACATTACCTCAAACCAACGTCCCAGAGCCTAAATAAGCCTTCGTCAAGTTCTGCCATGAATACTTGACCGAACAGTCTGTGAGATCAGTATGCACTCCCTTATCTGCTGTGCATTGTGTGCCTGCATTACAGACAAAGCGAGGTTTGTTAGTTTCACCAGAACAGGGAGTGCTATTTCCCGCAGTTGCATTTTTCCCGGATGATCCAATCACAATCCTCCCCTCCCAGTAGTCATTGCCATTCATCAAGTGGGAAAAGTCATGCAGAGAAGCCTGAGTCCCTATTCCAATCACCTCCCACGAGTACTTGATTCTGCAGGGATAATTACCATCACTCCTCAAATTTCTAAACTCTCTGATCAACGTGTCTGACGTTTGAGACTCAACTCCGATTATTTCCCACGAATACTTGATTTTACACTCGTTTATTCTTCGTTTCTTTTTCTCAGAAGGGGGAACCCAGTTATTCACGTCCTCCCAGGAATATTTTCGCTCTATTTTCGATTCTGGAGGATTTTCGACAGGATTTGGGATATTATCATGAATTCCATCAGTGTCAGCAATTGAATCTTGAGGGGAGAGGGCAATTTTACGATTTGGCAAAAGGTTATCGTCATTTCTCCACTCGGTTTCTCTAGGAGAAAATAAAACTGAAGAAATTTCGGTTGATTTGTTTGAATAAGTACTTCTCAAAGTTGTCGTGCATTTCTGCAATTTTGTTCGCTTTTTTATTTTATCCGGACGATAAACCGTTTTTTTAGAGATATTCTTGGACTCTGACACGGAATTTGGAAACTGCAGATTGTTCATTTGTTTATTGTTCATTATCTTGAAATAATCGTCGATGATCGACGAATTTGTTTTCACGAACATCGACGTTTTAGTCACAGGTTTGTTCATTCCACTCACCTCCCACGAATACTTAATTTTACACTCGTTTATTGTTCGTTTCTTTTTCTCAGAAGGGGGAACCCAGTTATTCACGTCCTCCCAGGAATATTTTCGCTCTATTTTCGATTCTGGAGGATTTTCGACAGGATTTGGGATATTATCATGAATTCCATGAGTGTCAGCAATTGAATCTTGAGGGGAGAGGGCAATTTTACGATTTGGCAAAAGGTTATCGTCATTTCTCCACTCGGTTTCTCTAGGAGAAAATAAAACTGAAGAAATTTCGGTTGATTTGTTTGAATAAGTACTTCTCAAAGTTGTCGAGCATTGCTGCAATTTTGTTCGCTTTTTTATTTTGTCCGGACGATAAACCGTTTTTTTAGAGATATTCTTGGACTCTGACACGGAATTTGGAAACTGCAGATTGTTCATTTGTTTATTGTTCATTATCTTGAAATAATCGTCGATGATCGACGAATTTGTTTTCACGAACATCGACTTGTTAGACACGTGTTTGTTCATTTTAGAGGTTTTTTTATTTGGAGAGAGTGTGAGAGATTAGAAGAAGGGTGGAGTTGCCAGAACCACAAGCATCTGAAATTTTGAAGATTAAGGTGAGAGGTGCAAAGGAGTCAAGCGAATGCAGAGAAATGTGGTACAGTGATGAGTGAAGAGGGCTTTTGATTATTTATTTTACTCACAGGCGGTTTCACGAGAATTTTTGGGTCATGTTTGGAGGAGTTTGAGGTTAGACTCCTATTGTGTTGACAAAACAGCAAAAACAGACGGGACTGACCAAAACAAAGAGCGTTGGCAATAGTGCGAGTCAACTTATCGGTGAGTGGAACGCGTGCTTTGAAGTTATCGGTCGTCAGCGATGCAGGGAGTTTTGGAAACGCTAGTGTGGAGTGAGTGATTTTGCAGTCGCGTAAAGGAATTCGGGAATATGAAAAAGAATAAGTTAATTCCTTGTGTTTAAGAGAATGAATGTTTTCTCACGTATTAGTAGATGAGCATTGGAAGTGTAAAGTTGGTTAGAATACAAACATTTGAGGGAACTCATCAAATGATTATATTTCCACAGAACGACACTGTTGTCTTTGATGAAAGTGAACGGTTTTTCAGTCGCACAAAGGATTTAGGAAATATTAAAAAGAACAAATTAATTGCTTGTGGTTAAGGGAATGAATGTGTTTCACGTATTAGTAGATGAGCATTGGCAGTGTAAAGTTGATTGGAATACAAACATTTGAGGGAACTCATCAAACTATTATATTCCCATAGAACGACACTGTTGTCTCTGATGAAAGTGAACAGTTTTTCAGTCGCGCGAAGGAATTAGGAAATGTTAAAAAGAACAAATTAATTGCTTGTGGTTAAGGGAATGAATGTGTTTCACGTATTAGTAGATGAGCATTGGAAGTGTAAAGTTGGTTAGAATACAAACATTTGAGGGAACTCATCAAACTATTATATTCCCATAGAACGACGCTGTTGTCTCTGATGACAGTGAACGGTTTTTCAGTTGTGCGAAGGATTCAGGGAACATTAAAAACATTAGAAAGACCAATTGCTTGTGTTGACGAAGATGAATGTTCTTTCACGTATTGGCAGATCGTCATGGTAAGTTAATGTTGATTATAAAACGAACATTTGGAATTGCTGATGAAACCGTTATGCTGGCTCATGGTGCAGGTATTTATGCCATAAAGGGGGGGGGGGGGAAAAATGACTCAAGAAATTAATGATTTTTTTTTATACATTCCTTGATTTTTTAAAAATCATCATGCAAAATCCCAGATAGCCTAGGAGAATGGGTGAAACTCTGGAATTTTTATAAAAAATGCAGTTTATGTCATTAGGGCTGATAAACCGCGATTCTAACCTCACTTCGCTCGGTCAAATCGCGGTTTTCGGCCCCGATGACTTCTTCTTCTTCTTCTTCTTCTTCTTCTTTTGTATGGCTCTAGCTGCAGTGGCTATTCGGCCGTTATCCCTCTATGGAACATTTCAGGAATTAGGAGATAAGGCTCAATGAGATAATTTTAGTACATTTCGACACTAGGCTGTGAGGAACTTTTCTGGCGAATATGAGAATATGAATATATGAATATGAACTCGCCTTCGGCTCGTCCTGTAACCATATCAGGTAGAAAAGTTCCCACGGCCGTGCGTCGAACTAGTAGATTATGTCATTAGGCGATAAAAGTATTATCTGGCGAATGTGCCTTTATAATCCGAGCCAAAGGCGAGAATTATAATCACATTCGCCAGATAATGCTTTTATCGCCGTGTAATATACGCTATTTTATGTCGTTGGGCCCGAAAACCGCGATTTAACCGAGTGAAGCGAGGTTAAAATCGCGGTTTATCGGGCCTAGTGACGAAAAAATATTACCTGACGAATGTGACTTTATAATCAGAGCCGAAAGCGACTTTTTTCTGAGGATGTAAATAACTTTTCTGTACTGCTTCTCACGATTTCTCGTCTGGGAATTGGTATTACATACTTCCCAAACTCGAAAACTTGAAAATCACTACAGAAAAATATTGTTCCTGCGCTGTTGCGATGGGGTTTTTTTACTCGTGTGGTTGGCCAGTCCTCGCCTACGGCTCGGAGGTCAACGCCACACGAGTAAAAAACCCCATCGCAACAGGCCGGAAATAGTACATTTCAGTACATGTGGGGCAATATCGTCTTTAACGTGTGTGGGGTTTACAGCATGAGCCGAAGGCGAGTGATGTAACCACACACGTTAAGGACGAAATTTCCCAACAAGTACTGAACAAAATTTTATGTCACGAAGCCTGAAACCGGCTGGATTACACACTCGACGCTTCGCGTCTCGTGTCTAATTCAGCCGGTTTCAAGCATGAGTGGCATAAAATACTATTACATTCGTGTCAAAGTTTTCATTCCCCGGGTTGAATACGCGGGGGACAGTTATTCGCAATATACATTTTCCGGTTGTCATAACTGAAAATGGATGCATTAATGTGGTGGGATCGCATTACCTATCGCTAATCCGGTTAATAATCCATGAGACCACCGACGAATTTCATTACATTTTCAAGATTCAGTGGGTTTAGCCCAATTCATCAAATTATTCCACAGCACTGCTCCATCAGTTTGGATGTATCATTAAAGTAGATTTTTAAAAACTACAACAAATCGCCTAAAAACTCTGTGATTCGGAATCGTAATTTTTTTCCTCATTTAATTGTCGTTCAAGTTTTTATAAATGAAAATGTTGAAAATTCCCCGGGAAAAGAACTTTTTCGTTTTTCGAGAAAAAAAATTTTAAAATACTATTTTCCGCTCGATTCTTCCTCGGGAATCCGATTTTGTAGGTCATAATCTCCTCTGCCACTCAAAAGTGGAGAATCAAATTTTTTTAAATCGAAAAATCGACTTAACAAAAATCCCCAACGTATTTTTTTTCGAAATAGTTTTTTGAATATTATCTGAAATTTTTACTCCTTAATTATGAAAAAAAAAAATTATGCACTTTATGCATTTTACGTAATTTATGAAATCGAAAAACGAAAAAGTATTTTTCTAGGGGTGAGCCTTCCTTAATCCATTGACAAAATCCCGAAGGAAAAAACCAAGAATTGTTGAAGGAATAGTAATTGGCAATGGGTTTTACAATAAATTTATTCATACAAAAATACATATTCCTCAATACAAATAGACAAACACGATAGGAATTTCTAATTTCGTTAGAATCTACTCTTCCAAATATCCCTAGACAATTGGAAGCAACTGCTTGGGTTGCAGTTAGTAAATATTATTTCGACCCACTCCCATTTACACGACAGTCGGATAATATTTGTACGAGAACTTGGTGGCAAGTTCACTGACGAGTTCTCTGTAGACAATGGGATTGACATTCTGGGCAAGTTGATGAAGTAGGAACCAATCACCAAAATTCAATCCTCCAACAACAGCCTCAACTTGTGCATTTGTTAAAATACGTGTGTTAGCACGTAAAATATAAATACGTGTTTTGTAATGGGCGAAGAGGATGATTCTGTACAGGAGATTAAGGCTACCAATACAAGCGAGAAATACAAGCCAGAACCACACAAAGACAAAAGTTTTCTCATTCACAACATTAAGTGGTAGTACGCAGAGTGCATCGTGAGTCTGTTGGGAGCCTGAGGAGCCAAATGTATGGATTGTACATTTAGTTACTTTGGGAAATAGACGAGACATGGGATCGACTCTCTCAAAGGGCTTTGTTTCCATTCCAAATGCAGCAACTGCCGGTCCATAACGAGTAAATTGACCCTCCAGGAAGGCATCCAGGAGATATATCTGGGCGATCTGTAAATTTTTTTCTGTAATGATTACACAGCTGGATAAAGTTTCAACTCAGTGTGTGCAAATGAATTTCATGGGAAAGACTAGCAAATTCGCTAGAAAATTCTATTGGGTTTCTATTATTTTCGATTATTTTTGGACCTAGTCCAAATGACTTGATTTGTTCCCGTTTGGACACTTCAAAAATTTTTTTCATCTTCTTCAAATCAACTGAAGACCGAAGAGGCTAAGAAGTTTTAAATAATTGATGATTCGGTCGAAACTTCTTCTTAACATTGGATTTCTACACGGAGAGAAATTTTTTAGAAAAATTCTAGGGCTAGCACGGGAAAAGAGGCGCAAAGTGACGGCCCGGAAAAAATTCCAGTGTCGACACTAGAAATTTTATTGGGGAAAACGTGAATTTTTCCCCCCATTTCAGATCGTTGGAACTAATTAATTTAAAGAAAAAGACAAAAATGAAAAATTTTAGGTATGATTATCGAAAATTGTTTGTCGATCTGGATTCTCACGTGATTTATGGAGAATTCCTCTTCATTCAATGCTGTAACTTGTGAATTAAGGAACAAAAATATATATAATAACAATAAGAATGAATAAAATTAAATTAATCTAATTGTGAAGACGGAAATGGAAAGAAAATAAAATAAAGTAACAGTATAAATTAATCTAGCTAGTTTGCTAGTTGATAATAAATTTATAATATTTAGATTGCTGCCAGGAATCGATTCTGTGGCAAAATATTAAAGTTCCTGAAAAATTAAAAAGTTCACATAATAAAAAAAAAATATTTCAAAAAATTCACACGTTGTGAAATATTTCACAATGATGTATAATTTTTCTCGCACAGTTGGAATGAGTGATTGAAAATCTCCAAAAGTAAACAAAATATGGATTCAATTTTTTGTTTTTCTTCTCGCTTTTTTATAAAGAGGGAGATGCCCGGATTTCGCGATATCGAAAACGAGGCATTTCTTTCCGCCGCAGTCATCGCAAAACATGCTGTCACATACTCCAAATAGTTTTTTTGTTGTTGTTGAGACCAACTTTTTAACGAGAGCGGGAATATCGATTGGGACGCCAGAAAAAAGTGAAACGTCCTTCAAGTTTTAATTTTTTTCCTTCAATTACTGTGGATAAAAAGTGAATAGTCGTTTATATCAAACCAAAGTTTAAATTGGTCTCCAGTCTAGTTTTTTTCCAACTTGGAGAATACAAAATGAGGGAAAATGAAAGTAGGAAAATTGGCAAGGTTTTTTTTTCGTGGAAAATGGAGCGGAATTCAGGGGAAACTGGGGGAATGTTCTACTCACTGAAAACTTTTTTCAGAGGAGAGATTATTTTCCTAGTTCCAGTTTTGTTATAAAAATTTTCTTCTCAATACTGATAAATTGAATGATACTGGCGCTTCGTGCTGAAAGAAGAGGAACTTATTTGAAGAAAAAATTTCATGAAGAACTTGAGAAATTGGAGTTTTGATCAATAATTTACGTATCAAAGTCGTTGGATGAGTTAAAAATTCTTCTACGAACTGTTTTCTAAAATGTGTTGGGGGTCAAGGAATGTATAACAATTTATTGAGAGATTTTTTTCATTTAGTACAGACTTAAGAATATATGTGGGAAATTTTTACAAATTCTCTCGAAGCCTTGAAATTTTCCATAAAAGGATCAAAAAAGGTAGAAATCATTCTAGATACATAAGTGAATATTCTATTCATCTTGTTTCATTAATTTATAATTGAACTGCCGAAAATGATGAGACATTCTTAACAATAAATTTTCGATTAATGAATAGATGCAAAAACAATATAGGAGGTGATTAATTCAGTAGGGAAGCGGTAAACCGGGTTAAGTTGATTTTGACTATTGGCCAGTTTTTGACAAGTATCTCGGAATCTAAAAGGGATAGAAAATTTTTTGTCATGACCTTTTTATAGCCCTTAATTGGTTCTACAAAAAAGGTCATGAGAAAAATTTTGCTGATCAAAAGTCAAAATCGACTTAACCCGGTTTACCGCTTCACTACTGAATTGAAAATTTATCTACGGATAATAATATCAAATCTTAGACATGAGGGATTTACGGAGAATTTTTAAAGACATTTTTTTTCATGACCCCCATAGAGACTTCTTATGAAAAAAATTTCCTCACGACTTTTCTTATGAATTTCTTTCATAAATTTACTTACGAATTCCCTTATGCCTCTGCCCCCAGAATATTTGGAAAATGACGCATGAAAAAATTTCGTTAATTTCATCGAACACAACGAGTAATGTTTATCAATGAATTCGCAATTATTGAAAAGACGTGAAAGAATGAATCGATTGATTTCAGATTAAATTTTGATTGGAAATTCATTATAAACCACTGTGTCACGCACTCAATTCAATTCGAAAAAAAAACTAGACATAAAATCAACAGCGAAATTTATTCCGCTCTCGCCCCGTATTTTCCCGTATGTTGGCGATTGTCCAGGAGTTTTATTCCCTCCAATCATCGCAATCCCTGTTAATAGCGTTCGCTATCCTGTTGCCTCATGTAAACAACTGTTCAATTGAAAAATAAAGAATTTATCAAAAAAATCCCCGTATTTCCGCCGAATTCCCTGAATTTTCCCCTGAATAAATAAATAAATAAATAAATGAATGAATGAATGGAAAAAACCTCCACAGAATTCACATCCCAATAAAATACCCCCCCC